AACGAGTGTTCCTTTGAAAGTAGAATATCGGCCGGTTTACCAAAACTGTAAAACCATCATAATTGTAATTATCATAATTAAATGTATAATTAAATAAAATACATTAAATTAAAATAAAGTATACCATGATTTGGTTCTTGTATTTGTGTGCTGTAATCTAAGTTATAATATTATAAGTAATTAACCCTGATAAATTTACAAAAGTAGCTAATTGCTTATAATGAGTGTAACAATCAGGGTCATTATTTTAGCTTCTAGATTTGACAATATATTTGAAAATCAATTAATAAATTTTGGGATAAACTTTAGTTGATGAGAGTGGTTAATTGAAATATGGTTAGTATATCGGTTATAGTTTATATAACGCGCTAGAAATTGTAGAATTATAGTTACTGAATACCGGTAATACATAGACTTAACTTGAAACCGACAACTTTTTAATTATGAGATTAATATTAATTGTAGCAACATAAAAACATATCCTATTTACATACAGAATTTCGGAAAAGTTGCACAAAACATATTAGATCACCTTGTACCTAGTGACCCTTCTTTGAGTAACGGTAGTTACAGTATAATTGATTTTTGTTTATAATTTAATATTCATGTTTCATTACAATTACACCAAAAAACAACGAATAACTTTATACGAAATTATTATTATAAATACGTTTATTAACTTGTCAATTTCTTAATTAAATTAATATATTTAAAACACGAGATATTGTATTACTTTCAATAATAACCGATATCCTAACCATATTTTAATTAATCACTCACATAAACTAAAATTAATCCCAAAATTTATTCATTCATTTTCAAATATTAGCCATTGTAATACCTGTATTTATATCAATTATTTAAAACAAATTTTATTTTTATAGATTTATTTTATTATGATAACTTATTAAAATTTTATTATTAGTATATTTAATAATAATTATTATAATTTTGTAATTCAGTTTTAGCCCGGTATAAATATAAATATAAGCACTTTTATATACAATATTTTATAACTTTGGCAAACTTGAGGTAATCAAACTCTCAAATGCACACTCATCATTACCACGCTTAATTTTAAAGTAACCTTTATCACCCCAGTCCTCATTCCACGAGTTAGCCACCAACCAGTAGTCCACACCATTTTCCACACCCCAACCCAGTATCCTAACAGCATGGTTACCAGCAAACTGACCTGTCACGTGTTGATATACACCAGATTTGTATTCAAAAAAGTCTTCGTAAACCTTTAATCACATTAATTATAAGTTAGTTACTAGTGTTGTAAAATCATCATCAAAATTGTATATGACAAATATGTCTAACGTTAGTATAATTTATTTTATTATCTATACTTACACCAAAATCAGCAACTACAGGTCCATTTGTCATAATTTCTAGCTGTACATCCTTGGGCTTATTAGCGAACAAGGTCCTTTTGCTACCAAAATGTTTGTCCTGAGCGTACGTTCCGTTATAACCCGCCTCACACTTGTTCTCACATTGAGGGGTGGGGACTAAAGTCATTGGACAGGGCGGGTAGTGTCCGGTACCCACGTGTTCGCACGGGGCTATCGTGTAAGGCAGACAACCCTCATGACTATCATAGTCACCTCCCGATACCAGACCTCTGTCAATATACTCCTGGTGGGCATACCAGGGCTCACCTCCATGAGCGCAGCTGCCTATGTGGGTACAGCTTAACAGATCCTCAACCGATATCTCCACCTGTTGTTTACCCTTCGATGCGATACATATGCGGTCAGAGATCGCGGAAACGGTCGACACCGCCCAACACGAGCCTAACATATGGCAGGGAAACGGGTGGTCACGGGGGGTTTGTCTCAATTTATTTAAATAGTTAATGTGTCCGCACTTACCGCACGCCCCCTGATCTCTGATCACTTTAAGGGAGCGACACTCTGGCCATTGTTGGCGTGAGTCAAACGACTCGGGGATGTCCAGGTCCTCGTAGACTACAGGTTCGCTGTCATCGTATG